TCGTGTGTGTGTGTGTGTGTGTGTGTGTGTGTGTGTGTGTGTGTGTGTGTGTGTGTGTGTGTGTGTGTGTGTGTGTGTCTTACGTTCCTTCGATGAAGGTCTGTCTCATTTGTTGTGTTTGCTTTTGGCAAGTGCTCACGCTGTCCATATTCCATCATTCATGTTTCGTTACCTCTGACGTGCGCACTCATTTCCATCTCTCTGTCTTTGTGGCTGCAGATGTGTCTTGACTTGGTCGCTGAGTTGCAGGACAGCATTCGCAAGGACCAACCGAGCCAGTGGTGCAAAGCAATCTACAAGTCAGTTTGCTTTCGGTTGCTTGGTTGTTTGGTTGTTTAGTTGTTTGGTTGTTTAGTTGGTTGGTTGTTTGGTTGTTTGGTTGTTTGGTTGTTTGGTTGTCGCTTCCTACAGGTTGCAGCTTGTTACATGTTACAATAGCTGTTGTTGCAACCTTGCATCACTGCGAGTGCCTTGACAATACATCTCCTTCCACCTCCCTTCACCATCATCAACACCGGCTTCCGTCTGCAGTGGCCCTGAGCACAGTCTCCCGTTCCACTGGGACGCCGATGCACGACTCTTCGTGCTCCCACACGCGTCTACATGATCACAGCCTGTAGCCACACGACCACAACCGCACCACCCACACGACTGCAGCTGCAGAAACATGATCGACTTGCATTTACGACAATCGCCACCTCCATGCCATCCAAGCCACATGTGTCCACCCACGTCTCCCTTGCTCGCCCGCTTCTTGGCTGCTGTCTGGTCGTGTCATTGGTTTCGTTTATTCAGTGGTGCTGACAGTGGTTCACGTTGAAAAAGAAATGCACATCATGAGCACATGCATAGCAGGCAACAAGAGCGCAATACACACATCAATCACACACACACACGCACACACACACACACACGCACACACACACACACACACACACACACACACACACACACACACACACACACACACACAACACACACACACACACACACACCACAAACAACCCCTACAATACCCAACACTACCCATCTCTCTCCTGTTCTCAAACGCAACTTCACGCCACCACCATGAAAGTGTCATTGTTTGGCGGTGAGGTGAGCCCTTGAGTCGTCAAAGACAGACTGGAGCGTGAACGCCTCAGCCAACACCAACTCAATCTCATCAAAGCCCCACGTCGACGTGGGCAGATTCTGCAGTCCATACAACAGCGACTGCAACGGCACGATGGTGGTCGCGGCAGTGGTTGTGGCGCGGAGGGGAGAAGGGTGTTGAGTTGCAGAGTGACGCACGCGCACACACACACACACACACACACACACACACACACACACACACACACACACAACACGCATGTACCCACACACACACACACACACACACACACACACACACACACACACACACACACACACACACACACACACACACACACACACACACACACTCACCACCACACACACACACACACAACACAACACACACACTCGCACAACACACACACACACACGCGTGCACCCATGCACACACACACACACACACACCACACACACACACACACACACACACGCATGCACACACACACACACACACAGCACGGCTGACCTGGAAGTCATCCCTGGCCTGGAGCTGTTTTGAAAACATCTTCAGAAACGCCGCGCACACATACACGTGGAACGACGCAAAGCCATCCTTTTCCGACAAACACGTGTCCCACTGCCCCGAATACAAATTGAGGTGGTGGTGTGGAACGTGGATGAGAAGAAGAGGAAGTGGAGTGGTGGTGGTGGTGGTTGTTGTTGTTGTTGTTGTTGTTGTTGTTGTGAAGTACGAGCTGCGCCACAGACCATGGATGAAGGCAAGAGCAGCCAGCACGAACAACCACCGCCACAACGAAACGAACAAGCAAGGCCAAAACCAACTCAGCAACACAATTTCCAAATCACGCCGCCATCACTCAGACAACGCGGCCACCCCCCCCACCCCCACAACGCACGAGTCTGATGGTGCAGTGAAGAGGGAGTTCGCGCATGAGAAGGCAGTTGATCCATCGAAAGGCGAACTGCACAAACAGCACACCCGTCGACTCAAGATGGTCAAACAGATCGCCTTATGGTGGTGTCAGGGGTGGTGGCGGTGACAGGTGTGCACAGAGCTGACATGAGTGCTGATAACGAGTGAGGTGAATCCCACAGCCACGCACCCCTTTGATGCACGAACACAAACACATGCACACACTGAGACAGACATACCCACACAACCCAATTCACAACGGAACCCAACGCATCTCCCTTCTTCCCTTGCCCACCCCCCCCCTGCTTCCTCGCCGCCACGAGCGCGTACGGTCGATGCGTTTGATGACGTCCTGCAAACGGGCAATCTTGTGGTGGATGCCCGGCTGTGCAGTCGTGTAGTTGTCCTGAATACCGTCCAGCAGACGTGAGAGGCACCAGAAGCTGTCTGCCTCCACATCCGCCAGCAGCACCGGTGGGACAGTGGTCACGTCGCACACGGCAAAGTCGCAATCGAGGACGTCGTCAATGAAGACGGCGATGAATGGCGTGACAAGGTCGTTCATGCCCTGCACATATCCGCTGCCGGGGTGGCGGATGGCCCAGATGT